ATGTTGTGCTATTCAGACGTTTATAATGGTCTGGCCCTCTAGCAACTTCAGCACGAAATTATAGCTAATTTGCCTACAAACGTCAGGTGGTCATAATAATCTGGCCACTCAGTGTGTATATATATATATATATTCAAGACATTTATGAATAGGAAAAGCTGTAAACAGCCTAAATGGACTAGCTAAATACATTTTGTATATTATGATGTAGCTACTAAATTATTTAAAATAAAAAATATTACGATTAACATAATATATGGTATGACATAATAAATATAAAAAACATAACATAAATATAAAATACATAATATAAAAAATAACTCACATGGAAATGCACAGGACCCAGAATAGCCAAAACAGGCTTAAAAAGAAAAACGTTTGAGTGCTCCACACTTTGCCACTTCAAAACTCACAGCACAGCTGTAGTAATGAAGAGTGTGGTGCTGGCCCCAGTGCAGCCATATCAGCCGATGAAACAGAAACAAGAGCCCAGAAATAAACCCTTACATTTATGTCAACTGATTTTCAACAAGGATGCCCAGATAAGTCATCCTGGAGGAAAGAGGAGCCTTTTCAACAAATGGTGCTGCAACAATTGGATATCCCCTTGCAAAAGAAAAAAAACTGGTCCCCTTCCTTAGACCATAAACAAAAATTAACTCAGAATGGACCACAGACCTAACTATAAGAGCTAAAGCAATAAAGCTCTATAAGAAAATATGAACGTAAATCTTGGGTCAGGTAAAAAACTTCTTAGGTAAGACACCAAAAGCATAAGTAACAAAAGAAAAGACGGATAAAGTGGACTTTATCAAAATTAAAAATTTGTGCTGCAAACAATACCATCTAGGAAATGAAAACACAACCCACAGAATGAGAGAAAATATCTATAAATTCCATCTCTGATAGGACCTGCAGGAACCCTCATTTGCCTCTTTGCAAAGACAATCACCCAGCGAAGAGGCACTGCCAGACCTCCTGTGACCTGTGCACAGCACACTGACTCAGGACACCAAGTGCATCTCAGAGGTTTATGCAGGGGAATTCCCCAGGAGGGTCTCACCTCGGAGAAACCGAAGGCTCTAGCACTTCTCAACCATGATTAACTCCTACTTCTCAGTAAGAGGTTAAGACTTTCAAATATTTGAACGGCGCGGCCTGACAAACTTGCACACCCGATGCTAATCCAGGTGGCTTAAGGCCAGGAGAATCCTAAATTAAATCCTCTACTTTACACAATGTGTCATCTAGAGCTACTTTTAAATTTTATTTGACAGCCTCTCAGATTATTTACCCTGAATGTACAATTGCTGGCTCGTTCATCTCTCTAGGCAAGCTCTTTGTGACAGGAGTGAGTAGCTGCCCATCCCTCCCCCAGGTGTCTATTATCACAGCTTCTCATTTCAGAGCCCAGTGAAGCACAGGGCATTCTGTTCACAACTACTCAATAGCCCAGCACCCCACAGACTTCCAGTTCTAGGCAGCTGGATCCTTTTGTTTGGAGAATTTTCATTAAATGAACAACTTTTAAATGCAAAGTAGTATGAGACATAGAAGAGAAATATAAGCAGGCACCCCTAGTCCCATTCTCAGGCATAACTCAGGATACGTAGGTTTTTTTCCAGCTTTACTTAAGTGTAGTTGACAAAAAATTGTATAAATTCAAGGTGTACACCTGATGTTTTGATACATTATGACATAATCACCACAATCAAGCTAATTAAGCTAACACTTAAGATCTCCCTGTCTCTTGGCAAATTTCAATATACAATATAGCACTGTTGACTCTAGTCACCACATTCTACACCAGAACTTACTCATCTTGCCTAACTGAAAATTTGGACACCCTGACCAACACCTCTCAGTCCCTGGCTGTCACCCTTCTACTCTCTGCCTCTATGAGTTCGACTATTTTGACTCCACACAGAAATGAGATCATGCAGTTTGTCTTTCTGCAGCTGGCTTATTTCACTCAGCATAATGTACTCTAGAGGATACACACGTTTTAATCAACCCCTTTGAAAGAGGCAATAATAAATGTATCTACTTTCAATTTTAAAGTCAAAAACAAATTTATTGCTCAAATCCAGTCACCTGTCACTTGTCATAGCTCCATTTCTTCTAAGTGATTTTCTCAGGTTTGAGCAAAGTACAATTTCAAACCCCAACTTTTACCTCAAAGGCTGGAACTGGAAGATCTGTCATGGAAGATATCAGGTTCTCACTACATTCTAGCAAAGCAAACACACGTCCTTTTAAAAATGTTCTTTACCAATCAGACTGCTAAGAGTGTACAACCAACACACAGCTACCTACACCTTCCTTTCACTCTGTTGTTGAATTTAATTCAATAGGCAAAAGCTGAGCTGAAAAGAGCCCTCTCAGTTAATGACGATGAGGATGCTAAATCATGTTTCGTATGACTTCGAATCCTTTAATGGGCACAAGGCCAAGCACCAACTGAGGGCACCAGGCACATTCTCTGATTTGGAGCTCACTCCCGACCTCCTGAGGCTACAGTACCACCTCACATAGGGTGCACTGCACGGCCTTCTCTGGGGCTGGTGCTGGGCAGTCCCCAACATGTATCCACCCGAGAGCAAAGCCCTGGAAGTATCAAAGGCTGCCGAGCAGCGAGAACACACAGAACATGGGACTGGCATGCTCGTTACCCATTCCCCGGTTCTGGATGGTATACACTTTAACTTTTTTTTTTTAATATATATATTTTATTGATTTTTTCTGGTATACATTTTAACTTTTTTTTTAAATATATATATTTTATTGATTTTTTACAGAGAGGAAGGGAGAGGGATTGAGAGTTAGAAACATCGATGAGAGAGAAACATCAATCAGCTGCCTCCTGAACACCCACTTACTGGGGATGTGCCCGCAACCAAGGTACATGCCCTTGACTGGAATCGAACCTGGGACCGTTTAGTCCGCAGGCCGATGCTCTATTCACTGAGCCAAACCGGTTAGGGCTATTTTAACTTTTTTAGGATAAAAAATTTTCATCTTTTTAGAGTAAGGCAGACACAAAGTAAAATTTTCTGTAATAAAGAACAGCATAAATGAAAAAGTAAATGAACATATATGTATGTGTGTGTAACTAGGGTCTTGTGCCCACTCTGCAACACCAAGCGCCTGAAGCACTTCATAAAATGTGGCTCTCAGTAACTCCTGGGGCACATCACCCCTTGAGAGGGAAAGCACAAGGCCTAGGAGGCTGACTGAGCAAGCTGCCAGGGTCCCCAGCCGGACAGGAATCGTGCTGGAAGATGAACCCGAGCCTGACCCCAAACCCTGCCCACTGCTAACACGGCTCAGTCTGGATGCTGGGACTTCCCAACACCTCAAGTGCAAACCACATAAACACCCATGAAGCAAAACATCTGAACGATTCCGCAGTGATTTCCACCTGCTACAGTATGAAAAAGCCAGTGCCCTAAGAATAAAAAAGTTTCCTTCAGTCTGGTTTTTATTTTTAAGTTCATTACCATCTTTATGCCTAGTTCCTCCTCTATCTTTCAAACCAAATTTTATCCTTCTTAATCTATGACAAGGCACACAGACCACTAAACAACAGAAATTGAAGAAAAATGTTTCTGTCCTGACTTCCTAGGCTCTAAGCATCCACTCTATCAGCGGAAGTTTGTTTCGTAATTCTATACTTACCTTGACGTTTTCGAGAAGAGCATCTTCTCTGCCTAAGCCAGGTCCTACAACCAGGGCATGCAGTCGGGGCAACCACTTTTCCACTTCATGAACGGCATTGGGACTGTCACTAAATAAGGAAAAGAAGGGCAGAATGGTTTACTTAAGATTTCATCTATTTGTTTAGTATGGAACTACAGATTTTTCCAGATTTTCCCAGTCCCCACCCCAATGTCCTTTTCCTGTTCTAGGACCCCACCCTGCACTTAGCCAGCAAATCTCCTAGTCGTCTCCACAGAAACTGGTTCATCTTTTAACACCCCAACATAGACGTCTAGCTTTCAATATTTAAATGCCTTCCAGGGAAAATAAGTGAATAAGTCAGACAGAGAAAGACAAATATCTTATATTTATATGTAAGATTTAAAATTAAAAAAAACAAGCTCATAAATACAGAGAACAGATTTGTGGTTACCAGAAGAGGGGAAAGTGGAGGGTGAGGATGGGTACAATGGGTATAGGAGATATAAATGTATTTAAAAAACAAACAAACAAAAAAAGGAATGGAGTATGGATATATGCTACGATGAAACTCAAAAACATGCTAAGTGAAAAAAGGCAGACACAAAAGACCACATATTGCATGATTCCATTCATATGAAATGTTCAAAAAAGGCAAATCTATAGGGACAGAAAGATAAAGTTACCTCAAGCTAGGGGTGGTAATGGGCAGAGGTTTTCTTGTTGGAGTGATGGAAGTGTTCTAAAATTAGATTGTGGTGACAGCAACACTTCGGTAAATACATCAAAGATCATTATACAACTAAAATGAGTGAATTTTATAGTAAGCTATGGCACAATAAAGCAGTTACACACATTAAAAATAGTTAATTTATAAGAGCAATAGTGGAGAGAGACACTGGGCCAGACATTAAATATTCAAGGAATGATCCAGGGATTTGACATAGCTGCCATGAGTAGTGGGTAGCGGAGTCTGACGGTGTGAGTTCAAAGGAGCTGAAGGTTAGAGGATTGAGAGCAGGGCAATGGTCTGGGAGGAGCAATGAGGAACAAGGACGAAGCACATCCCACCTCTAGTCCCAGTGGTACATGAGGGGTCAAAGGAAAAGCCACCTCCACTTGAAAGGCTTGAAGAGGAAGCCATGCCCTCTGGGAATAAGCAGACAAGGTAAAGGAGGGAGTGGCATTAGCAGGAAATAAGGTGAGAAAGTGCTCACTTATGGGAAATGGCAAAGACCAGTCTGGCTGAACACAGTATCAGTAAGTGAATGACATGAGAGAAGTAGAGGCATTTCACTGTAATGAAACTCAAGCAACAGAACCTCTCATTTGCTGGGCCCCTTGCAAGGCCCTGGGAGGGTCCTTAGCAATTTATTCAAGTGGTCCATATGGTTTTATAAAATCTGCAAAGGTAAGCAGAGGATGTGGGTCTCATCAAAGCTGAGCCAAAACAGAACTTCCTTCCCATAAGAAATAGAGCCAATAGTACAGGGTATATAGCTATAAACATAACACCCTTTTTCTCCTTGTTAAAAAAAAAAAAAGGCTCATGAAATAAAAATTTAAACACATCAGAATAAGACATTATGGCTAATTTCAAAATTATTTTGGCCAGTCTGTTTCCATCACACAGGAGTACAGGTAACAGTGTAGACTTTACACTTAGAGACTATCCCCTACATCAGGCACCGGGGAAGTCATCTAAAAGGGTCGTGTGACTGATTCCTTTACAACATTAAAAGGGCCCTCCTTTAGAACAAGACCTGACAGCTGCACAGAATTTTGTTGTTGGTTTTTTTCACAACACCTTCCTGTTCATCATCTCGTTTCTTAGACTCTTAGAACCCACTGTATAAGGCTTTGCTCCCCATAAGCTGCCCTTGTCAAAGTCACCAATGACCCCTATACTGTGAGATCCAACCACCCATTCTTAGTCCTTATCAGTGACTAGAAGGCCCTTCTAGAATAGTTTGCAAACAGTTCTTCACTCAACTTGAGGACACCCCTCCCTGGCCTGTTGCAGCTCCCCACAGATCTGCTCCCAAACAGGTGTTCCCAAACGGGTCCTCCCTGCCTACATGCACTCTTGTGTGGCTCATTTTTGTCTCTGGGCTTTAAACACCATCCACACATCAACAACTCCCAGATGTACACCTTCCCTGACTGCCCCACTCCTATCCCATGCTTACCAGCCATACCTGTTTGGTTACCTAACAGGCAACTAAAAACATGTCCAAAACCCCCAACTCCTGACCATCACCCCCACCCAAACCTGCTCCCCCAGGTTCCCAACCGCATTAAATGAGAACTCGCTCAGCCCAAACCCTGGGTGGCATTCATGACTGTCTTCTTTTCCTTGTATCCCATGTCCCACCCCTCAGCAGATCCTGGCGCTGTACTTTTCAAATGTACCCAGAACCTGACCCATTGTCCAGTTTCTACCTCATCATGTACCCATCACCAGGATCCTCACAACAGCTTCCTAGTGGGACTCTTGCTTCCACCCTGGGCTCCAAAAGCTTATACTCAATACAGCAGCCAGATAAGCCTCTTAAAACGTAAACCGTCCTGTCCCTCCCCTGCTCAAATGCTCCAGCAGCCTCCTTCTCATTTATACAAAAGCCAAAAACCTTACAATGACCCCCATAACCTGCTAAGCTTGGCTCTGAACCTCTGGTCACCAAGTACCTGAGCGCTCCCCAACACAGCTGCAGCTTAAGCTCTTGCAGCAGCTCTTCCTGTGTATGGAAGGGTCTCCCCCCCATTCCCCATGTCTGTAGAACTTGCTCCCTCACCATCTTCAAGCCTTTACTTGACTGCCCCTTGCTGTACCCATGACTACCCTATTAAAAACTGCACACGTAGCACATGCGCCACACGCACAGTCACACTGTGTCCCCTTCCCTGCTCCCATCTCCCCATGGTGCTTATCACCCTCTGACACACTTATCTTGTTTGTCCATCTCCAGAGCTGTGTTGTCTAATACAATAGATACTAACCACACATGGCTTTTAAATTTAATTAAACATGACCACCCTATTAAAAACTGCACACATAGCACATGCGCCACACGCACAGTCACACTGTGTCCCCTTCCCTGCTCCCATCTCCCCCATGGTGCTTATCACCCTCTGACACACTCTTATCTTGTTTGTCCATCTCCAGAGCTGTGTTGTCCAATACAGTAGATACTAACCACACATGGCTTTTAAATTTAATTAAAATTAAAGTAAAAACTCAGTGCCTAAGTCCTACTGGCCACATTTTAAATGCTCAGTAGCCATGTGGTCAGCAGACACAGTGCTGGACAGCACCAAGGGAGAACATGTTCATCATTGAAGGAAGTTCTAGGGCATGGGAGCAGGTGTTTTTGTCTGCTCGGTGCAATGCTGTCCCTGTAGAACCCAGGACAGGGCCTGCACGAAAGATCTGCTGAATGATGAACAGTTTTGTTACTGCCTGATAGGCCCCTCATTCCTGCCATACGTGCACTGTCCACAGGCAGGCACACAGACTCTCATTTCTGACAGGACACAGGGGCCAGCTCTGGGCACATCACCCTTCAGACCTTATCCCATGTTGTCCCACAAGACTGTCTTCTTCTGACCACAGACAATGGGCTCATTATAGTTTCCTCCTTTCTTCTGAAACAGTCTACCTACCAACTCTCGGTATGGAAGCTATTTAACTGAAACTCTTAGAGTCTGTAAAGACACCAAATGACCAAGGAGAGTTGTTGCAAATAAAGCCCCCACGTGCAGCCCCACTCACAGAACCGGGTGAACAATCAGCTCCGGGCTGTACGACTTGATCACAGGTGCGGCCTCCCGGGTACAGAACACGTGGGATAAATCTGCACCCTGAGAAATAAGCACAAGAGGCTAACTTAATGTGGGAATCACTCAAAAGATACCCAAAGTGGTTTCAGCAACACCCATTCAACATTTTCATCATCAAAAATTACATAGCACTATCCGTAAACAACAACAATACCATACTAACTGTAGCAGTTAAACTACAGGGAGGAGGCTGAGAACGTATAACCTAAGAAAAGGCCGAAATAAAGGCAGACTTTTACTGCTGCCTAAGAGACAGGTCAACCCAGACCAGCTCAAGCTGCCTCACTGAGCTTGAGGCTCACGGGAAGCAATGCAGTCATGGAGCTAGCACAATTCACAGTAACTGTGCTGACTGGGTGGTTAGGACTTAATCAAAAGACATGAGCAACTGCCAAAGTCCAAAGATGTCTTATGCTAGGACTGAAAGGCATCCCAAGATTATTTTGGTGAAGTACAATTCTAATAAAACTTTATTTAAAAAAAATGAGTTTGAAGTTATTTTATCACTGCACGAGAGGTCAGAGTACATTTAAAGATGTTTCTCTTACCCATAATTACCTGGAGATGTTATCTAGATTTTTATTGAAAAACATTTGCTTTAATCATATTTAAATAATCCAACTCTTCCTAATAAAGAAGATATAAGTAAACATACCACTTTGAGAGCTGAGATTGCTGCAAAATAAGGGGCTCCGGTGTACCTAAAAAGAAGATATTTACAGTCTAAAACTTGAGAATGAGGCAGGCACACCAGGTTTATCAACAAAAACCATACAGAAGTCAAGCACCTAGCACAGGGCCGAACCCCTAGCAGGTGCTCAGTAAACGTTCAATAAACATGAATCAGAACCAGAAAAGTCAGTCTTTCACCTGAGACCTTTGTACTATGTCAGGAGGGGCAAATTCTGGCTTCCTGTGACTACGGTCTCCCTGTAATGGCTATGTGCAAATTGATGGTTTTAGGGGTTTATACATATGTCAAACTTATGCAATTGTATATCATCTAGAACTCAATAAAGTTGTTAAAGAACAAATATCCTAATATAAAATAGTTCAGCAAGGTTGCCAGATTTCTATCAAGCAAAAAAGGGATAAAGATAGCATTTTTCTATACTAGGAATAATAGATTAGAAAATATGATAGCATCTACAATATTGGCAAAAACCATAAAGCATCTAAGAATTAACTTTATATAAACAAATAATAACTGGGGAAAATTTTTAAATCTATTAAAGAATACATTAGATGTACACTGGCTAAGATGACTTAACGTTATAATGATGACACTTCTTCCTAGATTAATATAAACATAGATATAAAAAGTACTTGATTTATCAGAAATGCACACAGCTGCAAGTAGAAGAAATTTTAACAGCATCTGAACAAAACTGAAGCTTTGTTAGCAAGGAAGATGGGTAGGAATATTACATTAGGGGGGAAAAAACACCCCCAATAATGCTGGGGGTCTTTCCCAGCATCTAGAAAGGTTCAGGAATCTGGAGAAAGCACTGCGTGTAAATTAATAAAGATACTAGAAATATAATATAAATTTGTAATCCACGGGGGAGCCAGAGGAGATCTAGCTTTAGTAACCAAGTTCTCCCTATCTCCGGACCCAGGGCTCTTTTTATTCCCACATCTTGCCCTATAGCAAAGTAGATATCAATATCAAAGGTTAGTTTGGTATACAGTAGGCATTGTCAGTTTGGGGGAACTGCCTACTGGCTGTTCAGGTGTTTGGCAAGCAGGAGGCAATAACATGTCGATTAAAATGCCCTCAGCTGTCTGGTAGCAGGTAATAATATATGTGAATCTTTAGATGTGGGGATATGCCCTTAGATATTCCAACAGCAGGTAATATGTATTCAGCCCTGCTGAATCCCCAAGTTCCATCAACCTTTTGATGAAACTTTTTGCATTTATGACATGCTGGAATTAGCTTCCAGCACCCCAAAACTGAAGACTTAAGACAGTGAGTGTTTACTGAAGGCATCTGCCAGGAGAGAGTGTGCCCGAGGTGATCACAGGCCAAAGCACCCCACACTGGACAGTACCCAGGGAGCAGGACCAGTCTTCGAGATCAACAGTAAGCACAGGCAATGGCCATCTTGATGGAGGGCCACACGGGGCACCCAGGCCAAACAAGAAGAGACTCTCACACCTCCCTCTGGCTTCCATCCTTACTGCTTTGGAATGCTTGTAACTCCACTTTTAAGGTCACTTCAAGCACAGAAAGAAAAACCCTTGAACTTAGCATCAGCTGGTGACTGTAACTTTTACGTCAATTCCAAGCAGTGAAAAGTTTTGCTATCCCAGGAAAAACACACTGGGGAAATTCAGGGTGCACTCTATACCCATGGCACTCTCCTGCAGAGCAGGGCCAATGTGCCAGAAACACCAAAGGACAGGGCATGCCAAACACACACACACACACACACACACACTCGCTC